AAAACAGGACCTGCATATGTGGCTAACATTTCCCACAAAGTTTAATTGTGTATCAGGTTTTCAGGACCAGTTGTGGGTAGACAACTCTCATCTCCAGCTATACACAGATGCATCAGGCAGTACAGGTTTTGGGGCCTACCTTCGGGGGGAATGGTTTTGCGGCAGATGGCCTGATCAGTGGGTTGTGAATGGGGCCACACTCGACATGACTTTCCTGGAGCTGTTTCCCATCGTCTTGGCAATCAAAATATGGGGACCTCAGCTTGCAAACAAGAAAATCCTTTTCTACTGTGACAACCAGGCAGTGGTGGCAATCATCAACAAGCAATCATCCAAAGCGCCCCGGGTGATGAATCTCCTCTGTCGCCTTATTCTTCTTTGCTTTAATCATAACGTCTTGTTTAAATCTAAATACATTGACACCAATTCCCATGTTATAGCCGATGCACTCTCGAGGTTTCAGTTCGACCGCTTTCGGGCAGCCGCACCAGAAGCGAAAGCTGCACTAACGCCCATCCCAGACACCATATGGCAGATCTAGAACAAGAAGCAGACAGGCTCATACGTCGGTCCCTATCGACAAATACCTGGTCGACCTACAAGACAGGCATCGATGCCCTGCAGCAGTTTCGAGCAGTACATCGACTTCCGGAGACATGGCCAGTCCCTCTGGATCAGGTTGTAAACTTTATTGCTCATTTGTCAGTCACTAATCATTCTCCAAACACAGTAAAAACATATATCACAGCTGTGTCTTCCTACCATAAATTCAAAGGCCTCCAGGACTGCACCGGGCATTTCCTTGTCAATAAACTGATCACAGGTATGTACAAGTCCAGTGGGCGGCAGGACAGGAGAAAACCTATTACGCTGGATCTGTTAAAAATAGTGAACAACAATCTCAGGCAGGTTTGTACCTCTTCCAAGCAGTATATTGCGTGGCCTTCTTTGGTTTCTTCAGGGAAAGTGAACTAGTTCCAACAAAGACATCACATCCTGGCTGCACAATCCAGGACGTAAGTATATCAGGTCAACCTGAGACAGTTACTATCCACCTCCCACATTCAAAAGGTGACCCACGAGGGTTCGGCGTTTCTTGAGGCAACACCTGGTCAATCCACATGCCCTTCTCCAGCGTTCATCCATTTCGACCATACTCCGCTAACCAGGTACCAATTCCAAGCCGTACTTAAAAAAGCCTTGGCCCTAAGCTCCATAAATACTGAAAACTATTCTTCACATTCATTCCGTATTGGAGCAGCAACTACAGCAGCCATGAATGGGGTACCCCCACATCTCATCCAGCAGGTGGAAGTCACAATGCTATCAGTCCTATATTCGGCTACCAACAAAATAATTTAGCATATCAGTTACTTTTTGTAAATGTAATCAAATAATATCAAGCACTCTCTTTAAATCTTCATACATTCAAACGACCTATTTGTATCCAAAGGGCACTAACTCCTTCTAACTCCTGTAAATGACTTCCGATGCTACTACTGCGTTTTCTTTCCAGTATGGATCGTAGGATAAAGTTTCGTGGCAAGAGCCAGGCGAGAGCTTCAAATGGAGTTGGCTCGTCACAGAACGATCTTGTGGCTTGCGAGGGGGGGACTTGCGTTGGGCGGAACTCGACCAGCTGATAGATGCCCAAATCCAGGCGATGCAGCGACCACCCAAGGCTGTAGTCATTCACCTTGGCTCTAACGACCTGTGCACCACAAAGGCGAGCCAGCTGCTGGGTGATATGGAGATGTCCATAAAGCGGCTACAGGTCCACCTGCCGAACGCCAAGATATTGTATTCCATCATCTTGCCACGCCGTTATTGGCATAATGCGCGGGACCCACGTAAGGTGGACCGCAGTAGGTCCAAACTAAACAGGCGTCTAGCCAACCATTTTACGCAAATTCCTAACTTTGTAGTAATCCCCCATCCACATATAGTGGCCACGGACCCATCCTGGTTCCAGTGGGATGGGACACACCTTAGCATTAAAGGGGTTCATCAATTCGTCAGCGACATAAACGATGCCTTGGTACAAATTTTCAAGTAAGTACATATTAAAGAGGTAAGTGAATTTCTTATATGAGGCAATCATGGCGGGTACGCGTATCTTCAGCCTTAGGCTGGATTTACACTACGTCCGATTTTCTCTGCGTTGCGTCATGCGTTGCGTCGGAAAAAACGCAATCAGTACTTTTGTCATTTACACAATACACTAGGTGCGAATATTGCATGCGTTGCGATCCGATGCGATTTAGATAGGTAGGCCTCCTATTTTTGACGCAACGCAAATGAACTCGCATGAGGAATTCCTCTGATGACGTCATTCCAATAAGGTATTTCCCCAACACTTGGGCAATCAGGTAAGGTTATTTCCTCATCTTTCGATAAAAATACATGATTCCAACTGCAGAGAAGCTGTGTTTTTGATGGGATATTATTTATAATGTGTTTCTGCGCCTGTCTGTACATAACATATTCTATAATATAACAAACATTTGATAAATTCCATTCTCAGAACAAGCAGGGAGACAGGAAAAAGAGGTCATATGCAAAAGATTTAAAGCTACTTCCAGATGCTTCCAAAAGTCTTGTGAAAAATAAAATTGCCCAGATATTGCTCAATTTGGTTCATGTCAACAGAACCCTTAGGATTATAACTATGTTCCCCAGGAAAGCCAGTACTGCTCAAATTCTGTGTGGAATTTGTAATACGTGAGTGTATGAAAGAACAAAGTTGATATGGAAGTAAATATTTTCTACTTACTTTTAGTTCAATGTTTCGAAAACACATCAAAGATTGATGTTATTTAATTTGAATTGTTACCTTTTATGTACCAATGTAGAAATTAAGGAGCTCTTAAACTCGATATATATAATTGTTACTTTTTAAGGAATAGTGAATCTTTCCCGTGCTGCAACAGCGGGTCACATTCTTGTGTGTTGTTTCGATATTGTATGTTTCATTTTCGACAGTAATGCATAGAATTGCTCTTTAGATAGCTTGAAATAGTTTTGGAATTTTTCACCATTCTCTTTTAATTCCCATATTAGACGATTATAGGCTCCTTCAAGAAATCTTTGTTGGTATAAGGGATGAACCCACCATCTCCGTGTTCTGATCTCTTCCTCATGCACAGAAACTGCCAGAGATGCTAGGATTTCTTCCTCCATCTCTTCTTCTTCCTCATCTAGCATAAAAGCAACCTTCGATGCCATCACAGAGTCAAAACGCACTGGCTTATATCGCAGATGATCGCACCTAGTGTATCGGAAAAACGCACTCGATAACGCATGCGTCAAAAAATGCGGACGTAGTGTAAATCCAGCCTTAGCCGTATGGTGTGGGGTAGCACTGTTGTGCTAGATGGCGTGGTTCTTGTGGGCTACCTTTCAACATAACTCATAAGAATATATATATGTTAATTAGGGTTTCCGGTTACCTGCTTTCCAGCGGGAACCTCGGCTGGGTTACCTTCTTACCAGTTGGAACCCAGTCTTTCCCGGGTTTTCACTCGGGGAATCTAGTAACAGTTAAGTTAAGTATCGGGGCCTGGCGGCGTTCGCTCCCAATTAGACCTGCGACGTTTCCGTCATTTGGGCCTTAGCATTAATTAGAGATTAGCAATTACACAGCTGGGCCTGGCGGCGTTCGCTCCCATTGTTGACCCCCAGCGTTGGTCGGGTTGCGACGTTTCCGTCATTTGGGCCTCAGCATTCTTTGGCTAGTAACAATTATGTTGGCGACGCTAGTTGCCACATAGGTAAAATCTTTTAGGCTTATTGTTAGCATTCTATTTCAAGATTGGGGTAGCCCACTAGAACCTCCACACCCTCGGCCATTAAATCCACAGTTGCGTCTCTGTTTTTCCTTCATTGTAGTCCTCTTCTCAGGAAAGTGGGTTCTTACTGCAATATCATGCGATAACATGTTCATATGAAACTGCAATATTAGTCTCAATGCATTGAATATTAGGAACTAAAGTACATGTTGCAGTTATGGCTAGGCTGGATCTTCTAACACTTGTGTAAAGGTATAAAATATGGTGTACTACACTAAATGTGTCCATTTCCTATGTAAATATTATTCAAACAATCAAAAACTTTCAAAGATTATAAAAACGTATACCCTAATATCCACGTATGATATGATATTGAACAAGGCTATGAAATTAGTTTCATGAAGAAATATCTGAACAATACGCAAAACATACATCATAATACTGAAAGTGTAATCGGAAGGATAGGGTGATTGTGTTTACTCTTGTTCAACCGACCTTCACTTCAAAGAAATTGCCTAATATGTACAACACTGTTGACATGTGACATCACTACCGATGCCTGGTTTCTTACAAATGGCGGCTTTGCTGACAAGGATACACAGGATTTTGCAAAGAATCTTCCCTTGATTCAGGGATCGTTTGTACATAAATATGAAATGTAAGTCATCAGAATGATTCTGACTATCTGTGTATTGTTATATGTTTTCATTGTAAGTAAGAGAAGAAGCCAGAAATGAAGATAATTACCGTTGCTGTTCTGCGTGATTTTGCCTCGGTCATGGCGTCACGCTTTACGGAAACTTTGACATATCATTGCATATTATCTGTGTTTAATTTCCTATTTCTTGCTACGATACTCTTTCCATGCACATTTTTATGACATTGGGCCGTTGTAAGCAACGAATAGGCGGCTGGATAACAGAAAATTTCAGAAAATGCTACACAGTGTAAACTCGGAATCTTTCTCTGTTTACATTTCAAACAAGCACAGCATTCGTTTTCACACCAAATATCTTTCGCTTCATTTCATCTAGACAGTTGGTATTGATCACAAAGAACATTTGTAATTTAAATCTAAAATGTATGGGTAATTCAGTAATACATTTGTCGCAGCTGAATATGAAATATACGTGATGTAATATGCGTCTCAATACCGGCCTTCGCGAAACGTGATTTTGTAAACACTATCCAATATAGCGGAAGCGCATATAGAGGGGTTTCAGAGTTATCCCGTGATTCCGTGCGCGCCGCCATGTTGGTTGTCATTCGCGTCCCCAGCAACCATAGCGTCACTAGCAACTATCGTCTACGCATACGTCTGTCTGCTTCAGTCCGTCATCTAACCATCTGTCATGGAGAATTATGCAAACTTACTGGATAAAGCATCTCGCATACGATATATCGAGAAGACTATTGTGATAGACAACGAAGTTCCGTACAGGATTCCCAGATCGGATTGGAGTGACGACCACAAGTATTTGCCGGCAACAAACTATGTCGACATCGTGAACTATCTGGTGTTCAGCCCTAGTCCTTTTTATAGTTTATCCGATATGAGAAACTATAGGAGTCTGGAAGCATATGACAGATTTGTGTGTGGTTGGGTACGAGACATCGTCTCATATGTGCATTTATCCGTCCAAGATGGAAAGGCCATTCATGTCGTGATGTCAAAAGTAAGAGAACAATAGTTTACCTACATCAACAAATGTGTTTGCAAATATACAATGATAATATTCTAAATATAACATAGGCTCTGTTTATGTAGCAGGGTTGCCACAGATCAGGGAAAAGTCAGGGAAGAAATTATTTTTTCAAGATCAGGGAATTTTGTTACAAAAGTCAGTGAAAATTGAAGTTTTGGAAAAAAGTCAGGGAAAACTAGTTCTTTTCAAACTTCACTGAGGCAACGATTGTATGAATTTGAGTTCCATGTCTGTATTAAATGTGTTTTTGTATAGATATTGGTATTATCAACTTTAATTTACTTGTTTTGGCAGTGTCCATTTGTAGACATATTTTGGAATAACTTCCAAGGATGTTTGACACAGAAATGTGACCAAATATTCAATCTCAAGCTCTCTGCTGAACTTTTTATGTTTGGGTTTGACTCAAATACTGTCCCAGCTACTGTTTTTGACCTCTTACTATCAATGTCTATGTTCTTTGTGTGTTCTTTTTTTTGTTGAAAATGTCAGTATTTCTACCAGTAAGATTTCATACTATACAAAGTCACCCTTTTCCTGGAGGTGATCCTCAATCTTGCAACAGGGACTTTAAAATGAAAACATTGAAATTAAAAAAGAAAATCAAAACTTATGTGTCAGAGTTTGCCAGAGGTAATATTTCTGTGTCATACACTTCATCTTGATGTTAGATTGATCTCTGTGTTTGTTTGATTACTAAATATTTTACTTTGTCTTAAGTAAAATGGATAGAAAGGTCGTCTGTAGGGGGGAGTTTGGAGGCCGAAATTTTCTTTTTCTTTTAATTTTGATCAGTGAAAAAATCAAATTGGTCAGGGATAAGTCAGGGAAAGTATGGAGTTTGAACTTTCGTCATCTGTGGCAAACCTGTGTAGAGTACTGCAATATTTTAATTACCTTTACACTGATTTAACAGTAGAGATAATGTTGATACAAAATCCAAAATGTCTTTAGTGTGTTAATAAAATTGTGTACATACTAATTGCCTTCAGTGTGCTGCGATGAAAAGCCTTGGTTTAGTAAAACTGCCACATTTCAATCAATTTCTTAATATCATATAGCATTATGTCTGAACAAAAATTAATTCCTGCACTGTATTTTCACAGGTTATGCATTCCCAGCGCTTGAACGAAGCTCCATTGCAGCCCTGGTTTATCACTGATGACGCTGGCACAGTTTTATCAGCTCATTGTAACTGTATGGCGGGTTTGGGTGAATCATGCTCACATGTGGCAAGTATGATGTTTGCTGTTGAAGCTATTGTGAGATTAAGAGAAACCGCCACTGTCACACAGCAACCTGCATACTGGAAACTTCCAGCTTCTCTTAAAAAGGTTAACTATGCATGTCTAAGAAAGATTGATTTCACCTCATCAAAGACTTTGAAAAAGAAACTTGACCTGTTAATTGAGGGTTCTACGACATGTTCGACTTCATCAAGTGCTAAACATATCAAGAAGTTAAAACCTGCATCTACCGTCAGTTTTGACAATTTCCTTCGCACTATTAATGCAGATAAACCATCTTGTCTTGCGGTTCATAGTGATTACAGTGATCAGTATGTACCTGTACCATTACAACAACAATTTCCTCAAGTGATCACTGAACTATTTGATGAAAGTATGGTTGGCATCCCATACAATGATGTTTTACTACACTGTCACAACGTTATAAATCAACTAAACATTACAGCAGAGGAGGTTTCAGCAGTGGAAGCAGCAACAAGAAACCAAGCGTGTTCCCCAGTTTGGTTTCAGTTCAGGGCTGGCCGTATAACAGCATCAAAGATGAAGAGTGTCAATCGTACATCACTGTCTAACCCTTCGAGGAGTTTACTTCGCCACATCTGTTACCCGACTGAGGTCAAGTTTTCTAATCCAGCTACGAGATGGGGATGTAGCCATGAAGTAACAGCTAGGGACACCTATGAGAAATTGTCTTCTGAGCGTCACCATAACTTCAGTGTTGAGGAATGTGACTTATTCCTCAGCTGTGAGTATCCACATCTTGGGGCAACTCCTGATGGTATTGTGGACTGTGGCTGTTGTGGAAGGGGCTGTCTTGAGATTAAGTGTCCATTCTGTGCAAAGGATGACTTTGTTGATAGTAACATAGTTTACTTAGAGGAGATTAATGGGTCACTGCAATTAAAAAGGGACAGTCAGTATTATTACCAGGTGCAAACACAGATATTTGTAACTAATCATGATTACTGTGACTTTGTTGTTTGGACAAACAATGATATATTTGTGGAAAGAATTACACCTTGTATGGTATTTTGGAAACCAGTAGCTGATCATGCAATGCAGTTCTTCACATCCATTATTCTACCAGAGATTGTTGCACGTCATTTCTTGAACACATGTACAAGGGTTGCTGAAGAAAGAGTCGACAAGGAAGTGTTTTGTACATGCCAGAAGCCAGAAGATGGAAGGAGGTATATTGGCTGTGATTGGAAAGAATGTACAGTCAGATGGTTTCACTTCAAGTGTGTTGGTCTTGTGCGAAAACCGAAAGGGAAATGGTATTGTAAACACTGTTCTACAAGAAAGAAGCGGAAACACAATAGTGAAGAGTGATGTTTCATGAACAATATCTTATCAGTATAACTTGACTTATGTGTCTCAAGCCTCGCTGACACCAAGCAACTTGTTCTGTGTCTGTGACACACCACCTCTTTATTGAACTTGTTCTCAAAATGATATTGATGTCATATTTTGTTGGCACTACACCAAGGCCAACATAGAACAAAAATAATCACAGATAATGTTTCAGCACATTAAGAATAGTTTTATTACTATAATTGACAGATTGTACATTTGAGCAGTAACTCATAGACTTGTGTATGAAATATTTTCCATTGGTTTGTGAAATGGTCTATGACATCAATAGTTGCTGGGATAATTATGCAGCTGAATTATTGTGTGAAACAAAATATCAGTAAAGTCATTTGAATAAGATGTCACTTACAAATAATTTTGTGACATATGATCTGCTTGAATAATGACAACACATCACAGTGTTTGAAATAGCTACTTGCCTGCTAGCTGATTGTGAATCGGGCCAGTAATATACTGTTAAAGCAAAGCTATCCAAACTGGTTCAGTATATCAGATAAATTGTTCTTTGTTTAATGTACATGAATATGATGAAGTCATTTATTAACATGATTAAGGTGCTAAAAGTCTGTCCTCAAAAGTTTAGTGATATATATTATCTCTTGCCACACGAAGATCACTATATAGAAAATGTTAACAGCATTGCGCAAAAGAAGTTAGGAACCATTACTACAATACAAATGTATTGTTTCAAAGGGTTGACAATAACCTACCATCTGTAATTACCAAGCATAATACCAGGCCTTACCAATGTGCATGCTGATATTGATATTTTGCAGGGCCTGTGAAGTATGATATGGGCAAGCGACAGTTTTACATAACTAGCCCTCCTTGCCAGTGACATTTTAAACTTAATTCAATCTGAACACATCTATGATCATTAACGATGAAGTTATCAAATAATACCTTTTTAAAACTTGGAGTGAACAACATTGATCATGGTCATGTTAGAAACATAGATTACATAATTTTCAGATAATAGTATATCAGATGCAAACTACAATGTGGTTCTAGTCGCCATTGAACATGTCAAGGTGTATCACCGAGTGCTAAATATGCCAACATTAAACACATTTGACCTTTCATTTATGTTTTTCATCTTTTGTAAGTCTCACAAGATATAAGTAGCCTTCACTCAAATGGAACAACTGATGGACACATGTTGGTAAGTGCACAGCAAACATGGACAAGCTTGTCAAGTAATGAATCAGTTTCATTACTCTTTGTCATAAGGTAATCAATGGGAATAGTGATGCTGAGGATCATGTATTTTTGACGGACACTACCAATAACTCATTCAACATGAATTCTTACATTGGCAATTTTTCTTGTTTCCTCTACTTCAGTGCCACTTAACTGTGGTTTACCTCGTGTAAATGCTGGAATCCTTAACTCCGCTCCTACAGAACCAATAATTTCTTGTATATCAAAGCCTCTATCTGCTAATACTATATCACCGTGGAGAAGATGATTGGTGAAATCACTATTATTTGTTAAATACTTATCACTAACACGACCTCCCCATCCCTCAGAAATGTAACTTACAGAACCTTAGGGAGTGATGCCAATAAGATATTTTACAGTATTATGATGCTTGTACGTTGACCATGTCTGGGTTCTAGCTGTCAAATTGGATGGTCTATCAATAAAAATCTCAAAACAGTCTATAATAACAGACACTCTGCGTCCAAAATACCTTCTGAATACCATTGGCATTGTTTTCCATAAATCCTCTCTATCTGGCCAGAACACAAGTTGTTTTAAGTTGATGTACAAGACATCCATAACCTGATTAAATGTCCTGGAAATTGTAGCTTTGCTGACACCAAACCTGTAACTTAGGTCAAGAGTGGGTAAATTCAGTCTGAGTCTCATTAATGTAATAATTAACTTTTGAAACTTTGTCAGAGATGAATGTGAAGACTGACAAATTCCATATGATACACGATTGAACAATGCAATTAGTGTTACAAACGAAGGCAGACCAGTATAATATCGTACTTTATCATCATCACCTTCAAAGTCTTCAGTATTATTTGCTTTCATTTTATGAACTATCTTCTTAAGTAGATTATTCTCATGTTTTAAAGATTCATTTTCTGACTTAATTTTGCAACTTTTAAGTTCCTGTTCGGGTGTAATATCATGCTCTTGATATACTGGTTCAGTGTCTGATTCTGCCTCACAAAGTTCCTCTTCAACTTCAAGATCAAACCGCAGGTTCCGGAGTCTTGATGCTTCCTTGCGCTCCTAAATGACAAAGAACACAAGTCCTTACAATAAACCTTATATATATGATGTAAATAATTTTTAAGATTGAGGGGAATATCTGTGTTACATACTACAGCAAAAAACAATTAACCTTGCACCCCTCAATTTGACTTCTTTTGAATGTTCAAGGAATTTCAAAATGAACAGAAAGACAGAAACATTTCATTTAATTAAGTGTCACAAGTCAGTAACATATGAAATATACATACATCAAAAATATTAAACATGTTTAGGGACCCTTCATAAATTATGGCCAGGGGGGTGATGATGATTTTTATGGAGAACCATGAACAATGTGACTGGCACGCCTAAAATTTATGCACAAAGTAAGTGACCCCCCTCTGCATGTTGTGTACAAAATCAATTACCCCCCTTCCCATATTTTGTAAGCCTAATTATTAAATATTTCCATGTACAAAATTGCTGACCCCCCAAGAAAAATTTGTGTACAAAATTGCTGACCCCCCCTACCTCCTCAGAACAAAATCAAAATGGGTGACCCCCATTAAAATCATCACCATCACCCCCCAGCCATAAATTATGAACGGTCCCCTTACTTTACCTGCAGACGGGAGAAACGAGAACCCTTGTTGTCATTGTCAGACTTGCCATAGCCAAGTTTCAAAGTTGGTATCCAATCGGGATGGGTGTCCTGATACAAGGCCGAAGGAGAACCTGGAGAAGATTATTTGATTATTATCGTCATCATCACAATATTACACAATTATTGTCTTGTGGTGTTAACTGCATAATTGTACTGCAGTATGGAGGCATGCAGAGTTCAGGCATGTTCCTACTGTTAAATTATCGGTGACAGCCTCAATTTAGCCTGATATGTCACAGATCACCTGGACTATTTCATATATTGTGGCCTTATATAATTCAGCGAAGCGGGTTAAAATTCGTGTATTGAATTGATCATGTCGACGCAGAAACGAATAATTTCGTGACGCCAGAGCTGGTTTGGAAAGACAAATAATTCCTTCTATCGGTGTCATACTACTACTGACAGGATAACGAGTTTTGATTAGTAAGACAACCGAACCTACTTTCGTATTACGCAGAGTTACCGGCCATAGCCACATATTGTACTTACCACCAACAAAATGATCGCTGCACACACGCATGTATTTGGTATCCTTGAATGCAAGATCCTCCCGATTGACAGCTGCAAACCACAAACGGCGCCGTTTCTGACTGAGATCTCTTGTTTTCTCATCACTATTACTAATAATAGCTGGGAATCTGAAAAATCTCTTCTTGTCTCGGGTTGCACGATTACTACATTTAAACACCGCGCATGAAACGGGCATATCGGCATCAGGTGGAATATCGCACTTGTTTACTTTTCGCGCTTCCAAGGTTGACAACCAACATGGCGGCCGCGCACTGCATCATGGGCACTGAAACCGCTCTATAGGCGTTCGTGTTAGTGTATTTTCAAAAAACATCCCCAACCGATTCTAAGTTCGTCGGCAACGTTTCAGAATAGTCATTAGTGATTTCATGGAAAACTGATATCAGTGATCATCAATATGCAATTTTAGAAATTCAATACTCCCAGTAATTATCCGATTTTCACATTTCAAAACATACAGGAAATAACGCTGTAAATCGTGATTTCGTGTTGTGTCAAAAATGGCGACATTTACGATGAAGCCTATTTTGAAACGTCTTTTACAGCACTTTAGCTTTGTCTGAGATAATAGTTGATGGTATCAAGAAACAGGGAATTTCCCGCAGAATTCAAAACTATGAATTCCTTAGGTTTTCTTTGTGGTCTAATGTTCATGAATGCTGCATTACGCTGGACAATAAACGCCATGTTGTCACCATGCAGCTAGGTGTAGAACTAATGCTAATGGTAACGTTTGTGAGCTAATGTAC